GGGGGTCCCCCGAGCCGCCGGTGCAGGAATGGAGGGGGTCTGCAGAAAGCCGGCCCCGCCCCGAGCTCGGCGGGCCAGGCCCTGATTCGCTACTTGACCACGTGACCAGCAGCCCGCCTGAACCAGCGACCCTCCCCTCAGCCGCCCAAGCCCCGGCGCTGAGGCACCCTGCCGCACGCGCCGGCACTCACCACAGCCATGGCCATTGGAGAGCCTGAAGCAGCCTGTGGAGGCAGTGGCGGCGTCACTACTTCCTCACGTGTCCGGCTCCCTCGGCTGTAGGTAGACGAACTATTAAGGAAGATAGCGAAACCCGCCAAACTTACGGAATTCTTTCTACCCCCATTCTCTCCCGGAAGTAGCTCGGTCCTTAGTCAAAAGGATTCCGACGTCCCAACCTTAGGCCACTTCCCTTTAGTTCCGATTGTACCCTCCCAATCTCTTCACTTGTTTGATATTTAATTTGGAAGAAAAAAAAAGTCACTTTGCTTTTGTAAACTAGATACTCGAATGTAGCCATTTTTCCAAATACAGGCCCTGAGACACGCACAAAAGAACTAAGACCCAACATGGGGAACCTCTTTGCTTTAAGAGGCGGGGCTAAGGCTAGCTGAAGGCCAATGAGAAACCGAGGAAAGACATAAAGGATCAGTAGCCAATAGGGAAAATGGGTGGAGCTTGGAGAAGAGCGCGCAATCTTACTGCGCATGACTGGCAGAGAACGGTTTAGAGTTGAGGAACATTCTGGAAGAATCGTCCTGGTATTAAACCCCGCCATCTCCTCAGTATTCCTACAGCAATTCGCCATTTGATTTTGCACTAGTCAGTGGAAAAGGTTCACCCCGTTCCTCCATTTTTAAAGACCTAAAGTGAAGCGTAGTCCACAGCTCTGTTCACCACCTTTCACCAACTCGCTAACAACAGCTAAAATTTTATTCAGTGGTGACAAGCAAGGTACTTTGCTAAACACTTTAACCCGTATTCACTTATGACTTACAATAACGCTATGAGGTAATGACCTCCATTTTATAGTTACGACACGTTTTAATAAACTAGTAAGAATTCAAGCTCAAGCTAATTTAACTGCTGCGAACTCACTTTACTCCCCGGCATCCTTTAAAACGGCCCATTTCAAAGCTGCCAACAACTTCTGGGGGCCCAAATCAATCACATATCTTTATAGTCTTACCTTGAGAAGCTGGCTTGTGGCTCATAATAACGCTCACGGTCACGGTCACGGTCCCGGTCACGGTCCCGGTCCCGGTCCCGGTCCCGGTCACTCCTTCCTCGGTATCCTCTGAATCCCTGATTCCAGTCTCTTCCATATCGCCTCATACTTTTTTAATCTTTTTTTCCTACCTCCCCGGCTGTCCTTCCTTTTGCCTATTTCTAACTGCCGCTTTTCTCCGCGTTCCTTCTCGGCTCTCGAACTCCGCCTCCGCTCTTACTGGCGGCACTTCCGGAAGTGTCCCCAATTTGAAACCTCCTTCGTCCCACGTGACCTGGATTGTTACTTGTATGCTAATGAATCTCAGCACGTTTCCAGCCCCCACCTCCGCTCTGTGCTCCGATTTCACATATGGATATGAACACCAGAATGTACGATACAGAGTTCTCAAACTTGTAGAGTCCAGAATTAAAACTGATTACTTCCCCTGCACTAAGAATCTTATGCATTGTTTGTCATTTATGCTTGCATTCTTGAAATCATTTTTTGGGTCGTCCCCTCCATTATCACGATGCATTCATTAATTCAACAAATATTTATTAAGTGAATACTGTGGGCCTGTGGACCATGTACTACACAAGGTTCTGAATATAGAGTGGTGAACAAAATATACATGATCCATAGCTCAGGAAGCTCACAGTGTAATGGGAGTGCTAGATAATAAACAAAACGGTAATGAATTACAGAGGACTACGACGTAACTTGCCCAATTGTGTCAATTCTTTACTTTTTTTAGCTTCCAGTGCTTATACAGTGTTTATTATTTAGTCCCTATGAGCTTTTTTAAAAAAATTATCTTTATTGTTGGAAGTATTACAGATGTCTCTCTTGCGCCAGCTTTGATCCCCTCCATCCCACATACACCT